GTCTTCCGCGTATTTCTGCTTGTCAGCTATAATGCTCTTCTTCACTTTCTTGTTAGCTTTAGTGTATTCACCTTGTGCCATGACTTTCGTTGTTCAACTGTTGTCATTTGCTGTCTTCTAGTTCTTCGTTTCTTGAATATTGCCCAGGGTTTCGATAGAGATCCATTCCTTATGATGATGCACCTCCTGACATGTTAATGTCAATATGTTACGTATTTCTTTGAAAGCAGCACAGCAACCCCTTGAGTGTGTGAAGCATTTTTCTCTTTGTGGTCGTAATACAGCAGCACCTCTCCCGTATCTAGCCTCTGCTGTCCAGCTTGGGTCGAATGGGTTTCGCCGATTCACAGTACTGCCAGTTTGTATCTCCTCATTTTTGTTGCTATTTGACTGGCCCTCTCGGTCTCCCACATTGTTTGGACGTTCCATGTACCTAAAAAAATTGTTGCTCTGGTGTTTAGACAGAGCATCGGCCTCATGACTTCCTAAAAATCTCAGATTTCACCGTGAGGCGTCATAATTTTTCCTTTAACTCGCAGGGCAGAGTTGAAATGGTTTAAATTAATTAATCCGGTTGACGTTCGTTTAGCAAGATTTTTTCTACGGGATATGGTTTGCGAACCCATACCCAACCCTCCTGCTTTATCCGGGCTTGCCACCGGTAGTAACTTTAAGAGAGCTACAGGTGGAGTTAAATAATGATAATAATAATAATAAATATTAAGGAAAACACCGTGTGAATATGATATGTAATAAGAGGAGTGTGTCAAGGTATTTGTGTTAAAAAATTAATGTGGATTTGGAAAGTTGAGTGTGTAAATTGAGCAGAATACAGGGCAGGTATGAACACTAAGGGAATCAGGGGATAAGTGGCATACGATGTCCAGTTAAAATATATTACACCACGATTATTTTGTGGTGATGTTGGCATCTTCATGGCTTTGAATCACCGATGGATAAATGTTTCTCAACCGATATAGTTAAACTGCGCCCGTCATAGTGTCTCACAAAAACTCCACCACTTGCATCTTGTAATTGAGATTTATTGTATAGAATCTCAACGCAATCTAAATCCAACAATTTCCTAGAAAGTATTGGGGAACTCAAAGCAAATTAGAATTGGCATTTGATGTATTTACTGGTGTTGTCGTTTATTGAGATAAACGAATTTATAAATATTATTTGTGTTGACAGATCTTGACTCAAACTTTCAGTACTTCTTTTCACGTAACTGCTGAAATTGAGGAAAGTAAATGGAAGTCGATGATTTCTTCTAACGTACAGTGCGAAGGTTATCGAAAGACATGTGCGAAACATTTCAAATAACGTTACTAATATTTTTATCTACATAACCTACGTCAACAGTCTTATGCTAACATTATATTACTTTCTATTTGTACCCAGTTATCACAATTTCAACAAAGAAACTCACTGTAATCTTTCGGGGTGATCCAATATAGATTTCTTGCAATCTACATTATTCAGTTGTTTCATAAGCAAGATAGATTGGTTGAATTGTCATTAAAGTGTAAAAGATAATCGGGCAAAATAAAATATGAATGTTTTTCGTAGACTCACTGTCCAAACGTAACTGTATACTGATTATTCAACGTCAATTATATGTTTACACTTTCCGAATTAAAATCTCAGTGTCACCCAATGATTAAGAATGACAGTGCAAGCCTAACCTGAAAATGTCCAATGTTTGTAATTAAGTTTCTCGAATTTCGAACCACTGCGATCAGACTGAACTGAAATCAAAGTATCTATGTCTTCAATTCAAAAACCGTCATTCGTGTTACTGTCCCAAAAATGTTTTGTGTTGTTGTGTTGATATCGTAATGGTTGTAAGGTTTTCGATCAAAACTCGTACAGTGTCTTCTTTTCAAGGCTAAACTAGTTTAGAAAGATTGAGCCCTTGGGAACTGTTCAATGTAGCTATACGAGACAAACCATCTGCATCTACATTGTTTTCAGCATAAACATGTATATCTTAATTAAGACTGTCAACGGGAATACTAATCTGAAGACCAGATTAAAAAAGCTGGAAGTGTCTGGACAGAGAATATTGTTATTTCTATGATAATCACAGGATTTTCAAAGTGACATACTGCCTAACATATAGATTGGTGCTGTTTGTCAAAGTATCATACTTCAAGGTCTGGAAATCAATTTTTAGGGCCATGAGCTTCTCGGAGTAGTTCTGCATCGTCTGCCGTCATTTTGAAGATTCAAAAAGTGAGAGAACCAAAGAGACCGCTTACCTTACTTTGTGTTGATTTATGGTTTATCTTGGCGAAATGAAGTTCGATGTTGGGGGCTTTGGTGCCCGCCAGAGTCCTGTCAGTAGATGCATCCAGTTTATTAGCAGAGTTATTTGAAGCGAAACATGAGCCAATTACGCTTGTTAAGGATGCTTAGATAAAATGAGTCAGCTTAAAATGTTTCGTTAAGTTTGGTCGTTAATGACCTCTTTCGTACTTAACAACATTCCTGCTGATTAGCTGTGTTACAATTCAACATTGTGGAAGAGCTGTCTCCATGTTTAAGGACGCTGTTTCTAAAAATAGTGACTAATTCAGAAATGTCACTGGAGAACGAAATGAGGACAACGTACCTGCTGAACTAGAGCGGTAGTACCTCTACTACTGTAAGGAAATGCACACAAGAGTCTGTCTCGCTATGCTAGTGCAAGTCAGGCTGAACCTCGCAGAACCAGGCTTTAATATAGTCAGGCTAGTATGACATGAGTTTTAATCTTTGGTAGTTTAATTGCGCACTATGACATTGATTAGGATAAAATTCGTAAATATGCAAAATATTCGAGAACTCAGAAATAATATCACAATGTATAAAGGTATGGAAGAGATTCATTGTTTATAATTTGTTGTTCCAGTATAGCACTTCTTTTACGCATAAGTTTGATTACGTTTAATTTTGTTATATCCTATATTATAACTTGTGAACCTGTGTGCCCTGTTAATGTATAACGTAACGATACCGCCAATTAGAGAACAGTGAATTATCAATCGAACCAATGGCTGATAAAACCCGTACGAATAGTCTAGAGTCCTTGTCGCTCCTGCTTCCCGCCTAGCTCAGTGTGTTAAGTCCAGAACACCAATCTCAGCCTCTGATATATGAATCATTTACTTCAAGCATACTGGGTGCATATATCAACCAGACAGACCACATCGTATCATAAAATAGGAAATAACATTTGTACAAGACTTAGCCAAATGTGACTGTGAATGAGGGAGATAGTAATTGATAGACAGGTCATAACTCAAGAATAGTAAATCGTATAATAATAGTTCATAGGTCAAAATAAAGCTCATGATAAGAGGGATATGAATATGATTAGTTTAGCTACATAACAATTATACGATAGAAATATACACATAGTTTTGGTCCATAAATGGATCTCAAAAATTATCATTCATTATTCTTATCGGGATATAACACCTTACAACTAACTCAGATAACAGACAGTGTTAACCAAACTGTAACATTTTGTATATCGTGGTATTATCGCTATATCCAAAGAGGAATAAATGAGTGGTAACTGCCATAAATTAGCTATGAACTAGTATTACATAACTATCAAGTAACGAGATTATATGTATATTTATAATCCCATCATCATAATTTTTCATTTGATCCACTGACTACTATTGTACGACTTATTATTCATAAGTTTTTCTCAACCTTTTAGTTACAGCCTCTTACCCTCACAGCCTCTTTTAACATGATCCTGTATAATTGTTACTTTCCATTTTATGGTATAATTCTGTCTGATTTGCTTGTATATAATTCAAGTATGTATGCAATATGCGACCCATACAGTGTAAGCTAATTTTGGTGTTCTAGACTCATATATCCCTAGACTCGCATATCCCTACCTATAGCCAAATTATTAGTTGCGTAAATCGTCTGACAAAACTTTCGCTGTGCCATTTACATGCTCTTGAATTTTACAAATTTATTCTCCTCTTCATTCAACTCTTCACTCGACTCTTAATTTGCCTGTGTATCTTCTGGTTCGCTAACGTCATCATTCCTTCTGAAATTCGCTTGATGTGCTCGTGTCATATTGACGAATGCTGTTCGATAAAAAAAACCGTAGTCGATACTTTGTGTTGCCTTCTGAATTCATACACCGCCGGGCATTCTTTAATAACGGCTATCAGGGTAACTGATATGCGAAGTCTTATTAAATGTTGTGAAGATAATTCACTATGCCAGATCACTTCAATGCCCACCACTGAAAATGCTATGAATATTCAGCAACTGATTATTCCGTTATCCACATACATTTTTAATCGAAGGTCTCAAAGTCAGTCAAAGCAAATTTGAGGTGTGAAGGTGTTCCAGAATGTAATGGGGGGGATGATAGGTGTATCGAGAAGTATATGATTTGGGCTAATTTGTAGTTGAAAGGGATGGGTGGCACAGCGTGCCAAGTTGTGAACTGATGCGAATACTTGGCCGAGCGCCTTCAGCAAGAGCGTGTCCAGAGAAACCAATGAGGTCGCCATCAGCGTTGAGGACTGGTGAAACTTTATTGTTTGACTCTATGACTTACACTCACAAACCGTTTGCCTTCCTCCACATGGAACAACCCTACTTGATCCATACCTCGTAACCACTCATTACCATCAATATTATTCCCACTATTATTTTGTTTATTATATCCATGACTGTTATTTTTAACTCGGCAGTTCACACCTTTGGCGAAAAAATTCATTTATTAATTCTGTCCATATCTTCTATTTCCTTACCTTTTAATATGAAAGTTATCGGTCCTAGTAAATTCATTAGCATATAACAAGCGCACTCATATTCGATGAATATTTTGTCGTAATTAACTATCTCATCTACGAGTATTAGTTCATCCAAGAGGATAAAATACCCGCATAAAATGACATCAAAGACATGGGACCGTACTTCATTGTCAAAATAACGAGTGTAAAGCAACCTGAGCTCGTCACAAGGTTATTGGACACTCGGACCCCGAAGTTTCAAGGACAGATGGATAAGGTGCAAGTTATGAACTTGCTCACCTATGTTCGTATAGTTTCCGCATGAAGTTCATACGTGCAATATGGGGAGAACTTGGAGGTATGTAAACATACTTTTAAGTGATTTTTGTCATACTTTATAAAGTTTCACCATAATAGGCAATCCCCCACGTTTATCTTATCAACTATATGTGTTTTCTTTACAAACTCCTTAATTCTCGGCCATCAGATTTTGCATCCGCTTATTAAAGCCCTACAAACTTATGGGTCTAATTGCTATGATGCAAAGATTATTCTCTGTTATTTTTTACACTGTAGTCTTTAGGAATCAGACTTCTCAATCGTTGGTTGTTATAATCTACTGAAATAAGTGTTGTGTAAATATTCATACAGAAACAAATATTTAAAATAATGAATTACAACCTAGCTCTGTATAGGTCTAGTCCAACAACCCTGACGTGGGTGTGGTGATAACAAGTTATCCGAAGCTGAAATAAGGATCCTTATTGTCAATCGTCGACGTTTGATGAATTTAAAAACTAAAGTGATATGAAATGAGACAGTATTTAAGGTTTGGTAGATTGCATATTCTTGTGGATTTATGTTAGCGCAATCGATTTCTGGTCGTTTTGTTTAAGTTTTGACCACGAATCATGATTTAGTTAATAATTATTTCTGACTTTTTATGGGGCTCAGACCAAGTGAATGCATTTATAAACAGTTACCATAATTCATTCTTAATATATTTATATTTCCAACTTTTGATATCCTAAGAAGGAAAGCCTGATGATTCAAAAGGGATTAAACGTGATTAGTAGGTATATATGTCGTAGATTTGATTCTATCTACTCAATGCACTCATTGAATTCCTGAACATCTCAACAAAACAGACTGGTGAGGAATAGTAATACACAGATATAAATGCAACCGTTTACCAGTAGAGTGGTGAAAATTGGCTTCAAAGTGGGATCTGCTGATAGTAGATATCACCAGTTTAACTTATTCTTAAAGCAGTTGGCTGTAATCTAACAGATGCTCTGGATATTTTGTGACTCATTTTATTAAATACAGACCCTGATACAGTCTTGTGCTATTCGTGGTTCTCTTTCAGAGATTTAATTCATTCTACGGAAGTGTTTAAAGACTGAGTTTATTTCCATGGTTTGGAGGTATCTTATTTTATAATCAGTTCATACTAACTACTAAATATATTGGTATTTTGAACTGTATTACTTTAGTAAGCAAGTTTTAGAATACCATTAGCTGTATGTTTTGCAGAAGAACACACAACGTTTCAAAATGTTAGGAAAGTTTTCAGTTTTACATTTTCATTTCAATTAAAAGCGATGTTAGCTATTGTCATGTTATTTAAAAAATCCCCTGACTATACAGACGTACAATACTTAAGGTTTACTACTGTATACTCAACACACATTTTTCCTTGACACAGACCATGTTTTATCTCTTACAATTGCTTGACGTTTCTCCTGGTTTGATAATAGATGGAAAAATTCTCCAGCTCAACCTGGTAAAGCTTATCATCCAACGACGGTTGAACATTTAGCTAATTGCATATCACATGTTCCATGTGTTCCACTTGGCGTTGCTGGAATGATTAGACTGTATTCAAAGGCAGATACATATTCCAAATCAGTGGCGGCAATCGTTTATGGTCTTGCCATTGTCTCACTCTTCTTTGCATCTTCTGTCTTCCATTTGTTCTCTTTGTTCTATATTAATGGGTAAGTTTTGCGTATTATTAGAATTAGAATATGGTAAATGTGGTCAAAACTGGCCACTTAGAATTTTTATGTGAAACCGCTTAAATCGGTGGTTTTTTAAAAGTGTGACTTACAATTTCTTTAACATGAAGTTTACATCTCTGAATTTGGGTGACGAGGTTCCTATATGTATCCGTATTTGACAGCTGTGTCTTTAAGTGGCTTCTCTCGGAAAAATCCATGTCAAATTAATTCGATGACATATTTTTGGCATTTAAAGTAACATTTTCTACGTGATCTTTCCACAAACTGTTGCATTTTTTAATGACGAATTTTTTAAATTATTTTCGTTTATTTTAAAATCCCATCAGTTTTTACTTACATACTTATGTCATCCTAATATGTTAGGTTTGTTAAAACGAATCCTAACTTATTGGCAGTTTTAATAGTTAACAGAAGTAGATGCTTGTAACAACAAATTTTATATTTACTGTGAATCTTATCCTCCTAGAAACTTTTGTACTATTTAACAACTGCCTTGGCTCGTTTGCTTGTTATGAAAACTTGTCGTATGCCTTAATATATATATATGATATTCATACATATATTGTGTATACGAATATGTTCAGAGGAGTAAATTTATACATCACTTCTCCTGCATGGAATTTTAAAGCTAGGCACTATTGATTTATCACTGAGAATAGATAACAGATACTTATCAATGACTATTCTTCATTAATAAACTTTATTTACTTGCATCATCTATTATATGAATCCTTTTGTAGGGTGGATGGATTATAATTAGGAAAGAAGGGACCTTCACTTCTTTAGGCTGATGAAAAATGAATTACAATAATAGATTTGTTCGTGATCCTCTTCTCATATAGTAGCATATGAAGGAACGAATAGATTGTTTGTAGGCGTTTAATAATAAACTTTGGCTCCTGAATGAGTAAGAAGAGTTAATAGATCTGTTTCATTTAAGCAGTTCTCAACCTTATAGTCTAGCGGCTGTCATACTGCTAAAAAGATCATGAGATTGTACATTCTTTTCCATAATTAAAACATGGAGTTAATGAATGAACCTCAATTATGATTGATTTCAAGTTATATCTATCTTATTTTAGTTACGATAACTTTTGATTTCTACCTAATTCATAAACGACATCTACTAATACACTAAGGCATTAACAACTAAATATTTTTAACAGTTGAATTCATGAGTCGATCTACTAATCAGGAGTCCCATACTAGGACAAAACGGCCATCCGGTGCTTCCAGGTTTTTAATGGTGGTCTAGCTTAGATCGATTCATGAGTTCAACCATTAAAATTACTACAATTTCTAAAAATCCCCATTCTGAAAATAAATATTTATTGAAATTTCAGATAAATCTGATGCTTAAGTTCGACACAAACCGTTATTTATATCGTCAGTGTAGTTTTAGAAAGTTGCTTAAATAGATCAATACCTTTGTAGGAAGTATGGTATTTCTATTATTATTATTATTATTATTATTATTATTATTATTATTCAGCTCTGTAAAATATAAATTTAGGTTTCTTTTTGACGTAGTGGATTTAAGACTTGTGGAAAATTTACAAATGCTCTTTGGAATTTCTTTGCAGATAATGTACTACTACAAATTCATGTCTTCTGTAGTGCTTGGAGGTTTCTCTGGCCGTTCCCACTAGTATGTTGATTAGGTTTATACTGAGGATTCAATATATAGTAATAAATAATTTATCATTGAATGAAGTATCTATTGTTTTATCAGTCTTTTTCAAATCTAGTTTTTGTATCATGGACTAGCATTCAAGGTTCGAGATCTAGAGTTTATTGACTGTTCAGCCTATAATTTCGTAATATCCATCTACAATTTAATTGTTTTTAATCATTATCTAACTCCTATTGACTTGTTATCAAACCCACTCCCAAGCCTTTTCTAATTAATATTATATTTTCAACACACATATCACCATGATTATATAAAAAATATCAATAGAACTGTAATACATAACGGTTATTTCATAGAACTAGTTAGCAAAAAATTTAAAAGATCACTAAGCAGAATTTGTTAGTTAAATCTCTCTTCCTGTTTCTCTCTCTCTCTCTCTCTCTCTCTATATATATATATATATATATATATATATATATATATATATATTGTGGTGCTGATGTTGACAGATATAAGTAGTATGCATCACCAATCCAAAGTGGAATGCCTGGCGTCAAGAGCTTAAGAAAATCGAAGAAAAGAGAACGAGAAGAGTGAGTGATTGGTGTGGAAAAGAAGGAACAGCCAAGTCTCAGACGATTGGTTGACATTTTGCAAATGAAGTATTTACTGTATGGTTCTCAGATTTTACTAAGAAATTCTGTAATTTTGTGTTCGAATACATTTGGTTGTCCTCGATTGTGTTCTCGTTCACTATAATACTAGTTCAGCATCTTTCTTGAAGAATGTTTAAGACCTCGAAATAGTTAATTATTATTTGATGATTGCAATGTATTCTAAAAACTGGGCATTTCTGATGGAAAAACTATAGTCCTAGAATTATGATTGAAGTACAATTATCTGAAAATAGATTATAATAATAACAGTTTATAAATCGAATGTTAACTTGTATTTCATTAAATTCCTTGTACTGAAAACTTAGAAACTTTTAATCAAAGACATAAAAATTCTAGGAGCGAACTATCAATAATGATTCAGTTTACTGTTTTCCTCAAAAAGTAATCATCAGTACTAATCAGTTCTTCATTATTCTATCTTGTCGAAACACAAACACTTCCTTCTTGTAATCCTATTCTTATTATCATAAACATTTTTTATTATTTTATATTCACATATCTGCTTGCCAAGTTACATCCACACTTTAATACTCTAGAAATGTATTAATGAATAGTTAAAAATGTGATAGATTTTTTGTTGGTATAATTTATACAATGAATCAATATTCCATCTCACAACAGTCTAGATATCAGGGTCTTTGTTTCTATCTACTGGATAAAAATGTGACTAAATGATAACTTTGAGGTAAGACACTTCGAATGTACATATAAAAAGGGTACTGGGTTCGCGTTTCACTATGAACATGAACAATGAAATACAAGTACATCTAGTTGATAACTCCTAAATAGGACGAGACGTACTTCCTTAATGCCACTAGTAACCACTATGAAACTCTAAGAAATCATTGAACAGTTTGTTAGTGGTTATTTAGTTATTGATGTACTCATCTAACCAGTAATCATGTGTGGATGAGTTTACTCGACCTTAAGTCATATATTTATTTTGTGAAACTACCAGTGATATTAAACAATTTTCTTTTGTACAAAGGTAAATGGAATGACGTTCAAACTTTGTATTTTGTAATTGTAGATTGATTGATAGATCATTTAATAATGAAACCTTTTGCATTTCTAACTATATGTTTACCTTATTTAAACTGCTATACATGTAAAATAAGAGATTATCATCCATTTATTTTATCCTATGATTATTGATACTAGTATGATCCGTCTGTATTCATTGTTTAGTCAATTTGCTAATATCTACTAATCTAACAATATCTCTCCATAATATTCAAAATGATTACTTACCATGTACAAGTGATTACTGAAATAAAATTCTACTGCTTTATTTACCGCTATCGATTTGTTATAAATTGAAGATTTTCTAATTGAACCTCAATTGACTTTGAAATTAACTATTCCTAAAGTATAATTGATGCTTTATTCAATTTCACTAGTAGTTTATCACGATTATAATCAACACTATTAAGGCTATTTCATAGAAAAACATTTAAAAAAAAATATCAACACTATTTATATTACTATTATTATCTAAAAGCTGTAATTAATACTATATACAGAAGTAGTTCATTCTTGTCTATCTGTTCATTCATTTTGAGGGTTGTTTTGTTTTAGTAACTTTCCGATAGTAGCGGAAATGTTAACGTTGACATGAATATTGTTATTGCGTATTATACATTAACTACTAAATTGTAGTAGTATATTTCCTTTTGTTAATGATAGACTTAACAGCGCTACTATATGTAATACATATCACTGTATGCAGTAATGATGATAATAGTGTAGTAAATTTCCGAGAGAATGTAGACTTATTATGATATGAAGATTATTTTATTTTTTTATTGTCTGTAAAAGATCAATATGATACAATTTTCATAATTCATACACCTACTTGCATTTCTCAGCTTCTATTAATTTGTTTGTTATTATCCATTTTATTATTTAGGTAATGGTTAATAAGATCTTCGTTGAATATTTTCTTGTTAATAAATTATTACTATGGTTTTCTTATTTGTACTAATGTTGTCAGACAAATTATTGATATGAACTCAACCAAATAGACCTCATTAATTGCCACTTTTCAGCATATTTCTATCCGCCTTCTGTTTCTAAACTTTTCTTGTTCAGTTTGTCTTACTCAATGTTATCCATGTACTTTGGAATTGATCGGATATGTAAATAGTTTCTTCAAGTGGTCTTAGAGGTATTTTGGTGGTTTTTACTTCCCGATTGCATACTGTGTAAAAGAGCTCTTCCTTTTAAGTGACCTAGAAAGGAAACTGGATTGCGAGTGTTATTGTTAACTTGTTAAATTGAATGCAGGACCCGATAGAAAACTGCTTCAGATAGGTAACATATGCGTTTTTCGCAAGAGGTTCTTGGTGTGTTGCCTCCGCATTTTAGAGGCCTTGTTGTCTGCAATGAAAATCTGTAAGATAAGGTGAAGTGCACTAATATTATAGTTGACCCTTTCTAACTCATTCTCCCCTGAGGAAAAGCAGCATTGCTGTAGATGTTGGTTGTCTAAGAGAGACGATTTTGCAATTATACTTCAGTGCAGTCATCAATATGACTTTGACCTTGAACCCTAAGTTGCCGCTTCTAGTTTTGCCTTTCTGGAATAAGTGTTACAGTCAATATACCTCAATTGGGTTATCACTACAAACAAGTTAGGCTATCATATCAAGGCAGCAGCTACAGTC